GCCAATTGCAGTCACACCTTCTCCCTCTCCACCAGAAGCTGACGGAAGTATCGATAGACCGAAGGCCAAACGAGCTTCTACGTTTAGCCTGGGAGGTGGAATCGCAAAGAGTCTGCGCCGGAAGAGCATCGGAATTGGGTCTGTAAAGCCTTTGTTAGCTCCTGATAACGTGGGGGCTCCGTCTACACTAGAGGGATCCTCACCTTCGCGCGTAGACGAGCATCCTCCCAGTGCTTATATACCGCCGAGCACTGATCTGCAAGACGCCCCGACGAGAGGTCTAGATACTCATTCTCCACCTTCCACATCATCGATGACGCCACAAAAGAAATTTATTGGACATGAACCATCGCCGGACCCACTTCAACAACGACGTCATCCGTCGCTCCCTCCGTTTATGCGCTCTTTCTCCCAACACGCCACTGTCATTCGACGAGTGATATCACGCTCGAGAAGTCGTGGAACCACTATGACAGAGTCACCTGTAACAGACACGGACGAAAAAGTGTTGAAGGTCGTCGGCGCTGGGACTGGGGGGACTAGTGGGAGTGGTGCCGGGGGTGGTGGTGAGAATCGAGTGGATAGTTCAAAGGGGAAGGGGAAGATTTTACGACCGGCATTGGCCCATCGTATCACCTCTGGGTCGGCGGATCAAGAAGTCTCTTCGGTTCGAAATCTAGAGTCTCGCGTTCGAACGACTTCTCAACCTTCTCCAACACGCGACGCAACTACATCCACGCATCCAGACCAAGGGTTGGGTGCAAAACCGCCCACATCGTCCAATGTTGGAAAGGTCCAGGGTGCGGACGCATCTTCTCGTGGACTCGGAGTTCCAGGATCGTCGAAAGGGCTTGGAACGTCTCCTCCAAAGACGGTCTTTGGGGGTATAAAGAGCGTCCGGGAAGGAGTGGGAACGAAGATGACCAGGATTGAGGAACCTCCACTTTCAGAGCGAAGGAGGCGAACCACTGGTGCTGCTAGCGATGGTGACAATGAAGAAGTCGAACTGAGGATGAGGAGCCAAACAACGTACGTCGAGGCGAGGAGATTAGCTAAACAAATCGGAGCTAGCGGTTACATGGAATGTTCTGCGCTCACACTGGTGAATGTCGTAAAGGTGTTTGACGAGGCTGTGAGGATCGCCGGTGAGTGTTTCCCTCTTCATCTTCTTTGCCCCTCTTCTCCTGTTTTCGCTTCCGAAAACTCCTAATAGTCAGAAAACTTTGACGTGATCTCCATTTTTGACTGCCTTTTTTCTTGGTCAGTGGATCACAGGATGACTCCATCGACTCGTAATTACGGAAGGAGCAAGCGAGACGATGATTGCATCATCGTATAATCTCCCTTAGACTGACTTTAGACGGATTAACGGATAGGGTTGCCCAGGCAGGTCAGTGGGCGTTGGGGTTCCAGAGTCGCGCTTTTTTTCTTTTTCTTTTTTCCTTTTTCTTCATGGGTTAGCACGAAACACCGTGCTGGATAAAATAATCGATGGATTAGGTCCTAATGGGTCAGTATACACGCGATAACCATCATAGTAATCTTATATAGTAATCGGTGCACGGTACGCACACACGAAAGTACCTGCCACTCGCTTTACAACTCCCTCCTTTGAATATATGCCGTCATAGTTTGATTTGTCCCCATCGAATTGACGTCCAAAAACGAGCATTCTGCGTTTCTTGATGAGTAGAAAAAAAATATCTGAGCACTCCCAGGATCGAACTGGGGACATTTCGTGTGTAAGACGAATATCATAACCACTAGATCAAGCGCCCGAAAACTCAGATGATTGCAAAGTTCAGTTACATAAACACTTTTAAATATCCTAAGTAAATTAAACCAAAATACTACCTTTACGCTGTATTCCTGGAACGATACAAGAATAAGTGTTTACATAGTAATTTTGCCTATATTTTTACTCTCCTTTGAATATTGGAGCGGAGCCAGAAATCGCTGTAGACATCTCCGAACCAGCCAGGGAGTACAATTGAACTCGTAACATGTAGTGACGTGTTGGAAAAGGTTTGAGTAAGCTCGAACACATTTGCATGGGAACCGCCTGCGAGATACTCGAAGGCTTTGAGCGAGTCGGTGACAGTCATCTGATTGCCGTCACCTAGATCAGGTCAATTGCGATCCTAGGCGCTTTAGGGAGACTTGATACCTTTTTTGGTCACGCCATTCATCGGAGGTGATACGGATCTTTCTCCAGATGGATGGGCTAGCCCAGAAGGACTTGTCTCCATCGGGAGCAAACCTTGATTAGTGTCCAGGAAATCGTTGATTTGGAGTCGAGACAAACTGGGACGAGGATTCGGACTAGTAACTCCACGGGAAGAGAATGAAAACCAGCGGTCGCGGCGTCAGTAACATGCTGGAACGCTGTGTATTGATAATCTGAGTTACGAAGAGTAAGGGATCAGTATCTAAGAAGAGTCGAAATCGAGAACTCCTACTTTTGCACCGCTGCGTGTACTTGACGAGATCCAAGGTGGAGTATATGCTACCCTTATAAGACTCGATATCATAGGACCAGGGTCTCCTTTGCCTTAGCAGCAGCAGACAGATAGACATGGGTATGGAATACTTGGACGACATAAAGAGATATAGAGCAGGCTTCGAGACTTAGATTGGGGACGCTTACGGAATAGTGTTCTCGATGTTGGATTCCAAACAAAAAGGAAGCATGTGAGATTTCATCACGTAAAAATGATATCTATACTTTCGCTCTCCTCTTCTCCCTACAGCTCCAGATCACATCCAATTGCCGCAACCGAGTTTCAGCTGATCTCGAGGCATAGAAACGACTGGCACATTGTGCCCACGCAAACCTCTGCCCATCGTCCATCTTACAATCGAGCAAGAGAAACAGATGCTCAAGGTGTGGGGAGATCTCCCAAAATTCGGGCTCACCCCCTATTCGTTCCTGGAAATATCCCTCCATCGATCTGAACATTTTCGATAGTATGGTACGTGCTTCGTGATGGGTAAAGAGCACAGCAAGTTGTTTGGCTTCTCTCGCGCAGCGGAGAAACCATTTGATAGTCGGGAAGGAAACGGGGAGGAGGAACGCGATCTCTTTGGGATGGAGATTCAAATCGAGGTAATCTGCTGCATCTCCTAGATTCTTAGTGTGTGGGACCTCGTCATTGATCCATGATGGCATGACCGTCTTGCCTCCCGAGAGATACACATTGAGTGTTCTGAGTCTTGGGGCTGAGAATAGATTGAGAAGTGTATACGCCAGTTTGTGGGTTTTAAGCTGCTCAAGATGTGGGAGTTCAATGAGTGGGAGAGGTTCTGCCGTAGGAATGACTGCACTCGATAAGACGAGGATTTTGAGGTTTGGAAAGTGAATGGGGATATGAGCCATAGCGAGCCTAATCGCAGATTGAATGGTAAGGGATCGAATATGAGGAAAATTTGCATCGGGAATGACACCAGAATAGAGATTTAGCTTCGAAATATTGGAGGGGAGCTGTAGGCCACTGGCGGGACCATTGAACCAGCCAGGGAGCATGAGTTGATGTGTAACGTGGGGTAGAATGTTGGAAAAAGCTTGAGTAAATCCGAGCCCATCCACAGGGCAATATGGTGTTAAATAGCCTACTCGGGTGAGCGAGTCGGTGACGGTGGCATTGACAATTGGGACGAGAGGGTCAAGGATATCGATCAAAGTGAGTATTTCCAGATTAATGAATCCACCCATCTGGTCGAGTTGCATCTGATCCAGCATCTCCCTGCTACAACTGGCTATATGTAGTATCTTCCAGCTTGGGAAAGGAGCCGATCGGTGGAGGAGAGCGCAAAGTTGTTTTAAATTTGGTCTAAAAGCCTTGCTACGGGTAAGCCATGTCGACAAGACCTTGGGTTCCTCAGGGAATGACTTTATTTCCAGATAAACCGCTAGTTTCTTGCCTCCAGAACGATCCAGTTGTAGTTCGAGATGCTGTAGGAAGCGCTTATACGCTTTTTTGTCCAACCATTCATCAGAGATGATACGGATTTCTCTCCAGACCGAAGAGGATGCCAAGAGAACTTGCCTCCAGCGGGAGCAGACTTTGGCCAATTTCCAAGGAACTTGAGGGTCTCCATCAATACAAATTGGAACTAGGATTTGCATTAGCAGTTCCGTCGGAAGAGAATGTATCCCGGTGATCCGGGCGTCTGTTGCTGTTGACATGCCTCGACGAGATTTATTGTAAATCTGAGTAGAAGATGGTGAGATATAAGTAGTTAAGAGCGACCAGGCACAAGCTATTCTACGGCTTGTATTGCTGGGTTGATGTGAGAGGATCCAAGATTACACCAGATAAGTAACGTCAAACGGCCAGCAATTTTTATGCAATAAATGATCTCTACATTGTATCCCTAACAAATGAAACTAGAATCGACTGTTTATATGATGAAATTCAGCTATGCCTTGCCTTTCTCTTTTCCCTACAACTCCACAGCACAGCTACCGACTGTAATGAAAAATAATATCTATACTTTCGCTCTCCTCTTCTCCCTACAGCTCCAGATCACATCCAGTTGCCGCAACCGGGTTTCAGCCGATCTCGAGGCATAGAAACGACTAGCACACTCTTCCCATGCAACCACCTGTTCTTCATCCATTTTACAATCGAGCACGAGACCGAGTCGTTCGAGATGCACGGACGCTTCCCAGAACTCGGGCTCCCCTCCTCTTCTTTCTTGAAGGTATCCCTCTGTCGATCGAAACATGGTCGTAAGTAAGGTACGTGCATCGTCTCCGACGAAGAGCACGCCTAAATGCTTGAATCTGCTTGTGCAGCGAAGAAAGGAGTTGAGTGTCGGGAGGGAGACAGGGAGGAGGAACGCCAGCTCCCTTTGAGGGGAGATATTCATTCCGATGTAGTCTGCTGGATTCCCTAGATCTGAGATTTGTATTGTCTTTTCTTTCATCCACGAGGGCATGGCTGCCCCGCTTCCCGAGAGATAGAGGGTGAGTGTTTGGAGTCGTGGAGCCGAGAGGCGATTGAGATGGGCGTAACCAAACTTGTGGGTCGTGAGATGCTCAAGGTGTGGGAGCTCGACCAAACGAGAGAATTCTGGGTCAGGGAGGTTTATTGCAGATAAGATGAGCGTTTTGAGATTCGGAAAGCAATCGGGGAGTTTGTCCACGAAGAATGAAACTGCAGATTGAAAAATGAGGGATTCAACGTGAGGAAAGTTCGTATCTGGTAATGTGCCCGAATAGATCCGTAACTTTTTTATATTGGGAGGAAGATGTAGACCAGTGGTGGGACCGTTGAACCATCCAGGGAGTATAAACCGATCCACAATGCGGGATAGGATGCCGGGGACGGTCTGAGTAAAAGTAAGCCCGTCCATAGGGCAAAACGGTGGCAAAAAGTCAAAGCGCTTGAGCGAGTTGGTGACAGTCGAGTCGACAATTGGAACGAAGGGATCGAGTAAGTCGTTTAAAACAAATGATTCCAGGTTGGTAAACCCGCCCATGCTGTCGAGGTGTATCTGATCCAGCATTTCTCTGCTACATCGTGTTAAAAAGAGAGCCTTACAACAAGGGAAAGGAGCTGATCGTTGGAGAAGAGTAGAAATCTGCTTCAAATCTGGCCTGAAACCACTGTGGGAACGAAAGTCTCCTATGTCCAGATGGACGTCCAATTGTCGAGATTCAGACCGGCTCAGTTGTAGTTCGAGAAGGCTAAGGGAGCCATTATACACCGTCTGGTTCGTCCATTTGTCGGAGATGATGCGAATCACCCTCCAAACTGACGGAGTAGCCAACAACACTTGCCTCCATCGGAAGCAGACTGTGGCCAACGTCCAAGGAGCTTTAGGGTCTCCATCAACACAGAGTGGAACCAAGATTTTCAACAGAAGCTCCGGTGGAAGTGAATAGACTCCAATAACCAGAGCGTCTTCTGCACTAGGCATGCCTTGACAGTATATGCTGTCAATCTGAGCAGTAGAAGTAAGAGATAGACAATTATGAAGGATTAAATTAAGATATAATACCTCTCGTATCACTAGGTTTGAGTTGGGTGGGTCCAAGGTAGGAGCTATTGGATCTCCACCTGACGGCCAGGAGCACTTCCCAACGCATTATGCAAGGCAACGACCTACATACTGTGCCCTGACAAGAGTAACACAGATTCGACAGTTCACAGAAC